TGGGGGGCTGGACTAGGTGACCTCTGAGGTCTCTTCCGACTGTCAACTTGTTAAATGGTGTAGGGCCTCCTGCTTGGGCAGGGGTGGGTGGGGTTGGACTAGATGACCTACAGGATCCCTTCCGACACTGTCAACCTGTTAAATGGTGTAGGTGTCCTGCTTTGGGGGGGGGGGGGGTTGGACTAGATGACTTCCAAAGCCCATCTGTTAAGGTGGCTGAGCAGTGGCCTACCTGGCAAGGCAGTTGTACTTATACCTCTGGTTATCCATTGCCAGCTCCCTGCCTCCCGTCATGCCTCCTAGTGGAGGGAGTTAAGGCCCCCCGCCAGAAGGCCTGTCAGCAACCCCACCCCCGTGTGCCCGGCCAGCCTCGCAGGGCTGTCGTGAGGGAGGCCCAGAGCAGCAGGCAGGAAAGGCTCGCAGGGCACAACCAATTATTCCCAGCCCGTAGCGCGGCTGGAGAACGACGTGAGTCTATCATATACATTGTCTTAAACCTAAATAAATAATAATAAATAAATAAATATAACGCAAAAGCCCTCCCTACCCAGCAGAGAAACAAGGCCGGCCCAGCGCCATTACCCCCCCCCGCCCCCCAAAAGAGCGGCCTACCTCGCAAGGCTGTTGTACAAGACGGACAAGAGGGCCTACCGGCGCTCCGGGGGCCACGCGACGAGGGCCGCCTCACGCCCGCCTCCTCCACAGCGGCCTTCCCTCCTGTCTAAAAACCCGCCCTGGGGCCCAACGATGGCCGCGGTCTTCAATTCGGAGGATCTACTAGCCGCCATCTTGGATTTACCTCAGAAAGAGAGAAGAGAAACGACGAGGGGAGGGGGAGGAAAGTAGGAGGCGCGCGGAGCACGCCGGGATAACGTCATGCGCCGCCCGGCCGGCCGGCTGACTCAACAGCTTCCCCCAGCAACAGGCCCCGCCTATGCCGGCCTCGCTGCTCCTCTCCGTAGACTCGCAATGTTTTAGAGGTGCAAGCACGGAAAGCACTTCCGAGCTCGCCTTTCGTTCTGTTTCCCTCCTTAAAAAAAAAAGAAAAAAAAGAAAAAAAAGGCAGCCATTTTAAGACACCTGGACTGCAACTCCCAGAATCCCCTAGCCAGCTTTAAAAGGCCTCAAAAAGAAAAAAAAGAAAAAAAAGGAAAGCTTCATCCCTGGTAGCTTTGGCTTGTGCCTCCATGGAGTTTTCATGCTCGCAGGGTGGAAGCGGGCTGCTCTCCCTGTCTTTCTTCCAGGATCTTGGTTCCCCACTCGAGATTTCCTGGTGGTTCCCCATCCAGAAATCTGAGCATCACACTTCTGCTTTGGGAAATCAGCCAAGTTGGCCGAACCTGGACACTCAATAAATTTGCAGATGACACCAACCTGGCAGGAATAGCTTACACTTTAGAACATAGGTAAAATAGAAAGAGAACAACATAATTGGAAGGGACCTTGGAAGTCTTCTTATCCAACCCCCCTGCTTAGCCGGATTTAAGATACAGAAATATCTTGATAGACTTGAACATTGGGCGCTATGTAACAAAATGAAATTCAATGGTTCTATATTTAGCCAAGAAAAACCAAATACAAAGGGACAGTACAAGTGTACCTCACTTAACAGAGCTGGTAGTAACTTTGAGAGGGATCTTGGAGTCCTAATATGAGCTAGCAGTGTGCACCACCAGCCAAAAATGCCAACACTGTCCCAGGCTGCATAAACAGAGGGATAGAATCAAGATCATGTGAAGCATTAATACCACTTTATAATGCCTTGGGGTAAGGCCACACTTGGAATATTACATCTAGTTTTGGTCCCCCGTGTAAAAAAAGATGTTGAGACTCTAGAAAGAGGGCAGAGAAGAGCAACCAAGATGATGAGGGGACTGGAGGCTGAAACATATGAAGAACGGTTGCAGGAACTGGGCCTGGCTAGTCTAATGAAAAGAAGGACTAGGGGTGGCATGATAGCAGTATTACAATATCTCAGGGGTTGCCATAAAGAAGGAATCAAGCTATTCTCCAAAGCACCAGAAGGCAAGACAAGATGCAATGGATGGAAACTAAGGAGGAAAGCAACCTGGAACTAAGGAGAAATTTCCTGATAGTTAGGACAATTAATCAGTGGAACAACTTGCCTCCAGAATTTATTGATGCTGGAAGTTTTTAAGAAGAGATTGGACAACAATTTATCTGAAATCGTAGAGAATTTCCAGAGGAGGTTGGACTAAAAGAACTAGGTCTCTTCCAACTCTGTTTTTCTGACAAATTTTCCCCAACATTCCTGTATGGTGCAATATTAATGCAATATCAGGGGTTTTCAATTCAATGTATAGACCGTGAAGGATGTGTGTTTATTTTCATAGCCCTAATGTACACTGAAGATGGTATTTAATTTCATTGTATGAGGTGCAATGACAATAAAGTAAACTAAAGACCCTTCCCAGCCTGGAGGCTCTGAGATACCATTAACACAAACCCAATATTAACACTTCACGTTATCTTGATTCTATCCCTCTGTTTATGCAGCCTAGAACTGTGTGTGCTTTTTTGTGTGTGTGCAGCTGCTGCACACAGCTGGCTCATATTCAAGTAATTGTCCATTAAGACTCCAAGTTCCTGCTTCCAGTTACTATTGAGCGAGGTACCACATATACTGTACATTTGGTTTTTCTTGTGTAAATGTAGAACCTTACTTTTTTCACCATTGAATTTCATTTTGTTAGCTAGCACCCAATGTTCAAGTCCGCCCAGATCCTTCTGGATCTTAAGCCCATCTTCTGGAGCGTTGGCTATTCCTGCCGGCTTGGTGTCGCCCGCAAATTTGATGAGTTCCCCATCTATCCCCTTGTCCAAGTCATTGATGAAGATGTACTGGGTCAAAAACAGAGCCTTGGGGTACTCCACTGTATACTTCCCTCCATGTAGATGCAGTTCCATTCAAGACTACTCGTTGAGTGTGGTTGGTCAGCCAGTTACAAAGAGGATGGAGAAATGTGAAGATGCTCCAATTCTTTTCTGAATGTTTTTTTTATTTTTACCATTTTCACTGTTCTGTAATGTTGGAATTGTAAGCTGCTTGATCGCTTGATTTAAGTTGTGCAGCTTGTTGAGGTAATTCCCCGTTAGAATGAGTGCATACAGGGGGACGTAGTGAGAGTAATGTTGAATAACACACCCACAACAGACTGTACAGTAAATATAGGTTTTTATTTCCAATAAATGTTTAAGCACAGTCGAAGATAAGCAGTCCAAGTCATTCACAGGTAAAGCAGTCAGTTTTCAGTCCAGGGATAATCCAAATATCAAAGTCCGTTATCAAAAACAGTTCAGTAACAGACTTACATCAAATCCAAGAATAACAATGAATTAGGAGGAATGGCAATATTCTCCAACAGAACGAAACAGAGACTCACTGAGACTTCTTCTGAGACTACACAACCCAGGTTTCTGGCTCCATCTTATGGCTGTTTGAAAAACCACAGCCAATTACAGTTTTAGCATTTTCTTAAAGACATAGTATTAAAATGTCTATCCTAGTTTATATATTTCCAACCCAAATAACTGTTAGATGACTTACATTCCTAACACAGCAACAGAAATGGAAGGTATCAGGCATGCTGCAAGGAATGGACGTTTGTCGAAGGAAGCCAACTGGAGGCGAGTTTGTGTATGTGTGGTGGTGGTGGGGTTTGCATGCAAGAGGAGGCTGGCCAGGATGGGAGAAACCTCCAGAACAGAGGAAAGATTGAAGAGAAGGAAGGAAGAGGAGATGAAAAAACATGAGAGTAAGCGAGAGGGGAATCACAGAAGGGGAATTATTGATGGCAATACTGGGAAATGGAGGGAGATGGAAACGTAGCAATATTTCTCAAACTCTTAAGGCACGGGGACTTCAACTTCCAAATTTCCCCAGCAAACCAAAAAAAGATTAAGACTTTGGAAAAAGTGCAAAGAACAGAAACTAAGATGATTTAAGGCGCTGGGGACAAAAACACACTAAGAAAGGTTGCAAATTAACAATTAACCAGTGGAACAGATTGCCACTAGAAATCGTGGGCGCTTCGTCAGTGGAAGTGTTTAAAAGAGACTAGAGACAGTCATTTATATAAATTGGTATACTATAGGGTCTCCTGCTTGAGCAGGGGGCTGGACTAGAAGACCTCTAAGGTCCCTTCCAGCTCCATTCTCTATTCTTCCAAGCTAGAAAACCCACGCCTGTAATATGGAAACCCGCTCCACGCGTGATTATCTAGCTCTCCCACCCACCCACTTCTAACAGTCCCGCCACGGAAATAGGCCGACCACCTTGGGAAAAAAGAAGCCCGGGTCGTAAAGCAAAAAGTCTCGCGTCGGGCAAGAAAATAACGTGGGAAAGCCGAACCTAAATGGGCGCAACTGCGCAGGCGCCGCTCTCCAGCCACACACGCCCCCCCCCCACCCCCGCCCGCCGGCGCCCTCCTCCTTTCCGCCCCTCCTCCTTGTTGGCGCCTGCGCGCGCCCGCGCCCGCGAGACAGAGCGGCTTTTGAACGGCGTCGCGTCGGTCCAATGGGCGCCGCCCATCGGCCGCGCCGCCGCCAATGAGCGGCGGCGCTCGAACGCGGGTAGGGGGCGTGGCCAGCGACGCCACCCGCCTCCTTCTCCTGCTGCTGCTGCCGCCGCTGCTGCTTGATTGAGGGACCGATTCATCGCGCGGCCGGAGGGACCCCCGTCAGCCTTTTTTTTTTTCCTTCCTTCCCTCTCCGTCGCTTCGCTGCCGCCGTTTCCATCCTCCTCTTCGTCCCTCCCCTCCCCTCTCCCCGCCGCCATCTTCCTCTGCCTTTCTTCGGCGCCCGTCGTCAGGTGAGCGCGGCCGAGGCGGTTGCCGCGGGAAGGGGGGGGGGAAATGGAGTGGGTGGGGGGAGGGGGGGAGGAGTAGGCAATGGGGAAGGGCTTGCTTTGCGGCCTGGGTGTGACGCGAAGGGGGTGTGGCCTGCGTCCCGCGCCTGCGCGGCCGCGCGACGGAGGGAGGTAGGCCGCGGCGCAGGCGGCCTTACGTGGGCGGGGGGTGCCGTGACGTCACAGGGCGCGGGAATCGCGTCATAATCCCCGGACCGGCCTTGGAAGTGCCCGGCGCGCGCGACCTGCACTTGGCTCCTCCTCCTTTTTTTTCGCCCCCCGCTCGAGCGAATTTCAGGGACGCGTTTCTTCAGTGAGGCCTCAAGTTTTGGAAAAAAAAGGTAGGCCGGGCCGGCCATTTTCCTCACGCCGGGTATGGAGGCCACAGCGCCATTGTTGCGGAGGGAAGGGAAGGAAGGAGGGGCGAGCGGAGAGGCCTTTTTTTTTTTTTTTTTTGCCCGGAAGCCCCTGCAGGGAGGGCCCTTCCTCGGGCCCGCTCCTATTTTTTTTTTCGACGTTTTGACCCTCTTTTCTAAAAAGCCCCCGTGTCGGAATCCTCTGCCCCTCGTGGAGGGACGGGAATTCCAGATATCCAGGCAAAATGGCCTACCTAACGGCAGCTGTAGAGGCGCGGGCTCTCCGAGCTACGTTATTTTGAAGGGGCGGGAGGGGGAGCAAATCGTTTGTCTGAAATGGTGTGGGATTTTTTTTTTTTTTTTTGAGCAGGGGGTTGTGGGCTTCCGACTCCCAGAATTTTGCCCCCCCCACCAGCCATGCTGGCTGAGGAATTCTGGGAGTTGAAGTCCACAAGTCTTAAAGTTGCCAAGGTTGGAGACCCCTGGACTAGAGGACGTCCAAGAATAGAATAGAATAAATGTAGAAAAGAATAAATATAAAATAGAATAAGGGAATGGAAATGAGAATAGAATAGAATTCTTTATTGGCCAAGTGTGATTGGACACACGAGGAATTTGTCTCGATGCAAATGCTTTCAGTGCCCACAAAGACATTTGTCAAGAGTCAAGAGTCATCAGGTACAACACTTAATGATAGTCATAGGGTACAAAAGCAGTCAAATCATACTAGGAAAGAGTCAATGTAAGTCATAAGGATACAAGCAACAAAGTTACAGTCCTACAGTCACAAGTGGTAGGGGATGGGTGATAAGGAATGATGAGAAGATCACTAGTGATAGTAGTGCAGACTTCGTAAATAGTTGGACAGTGTGGAGGGAATTATTTGTTTAGAAAAGGTCCCTTTTCCGATGCTGTGATTTTGTGGAATGGAAAGAAGGACCAGGGTGGATATGGCAGCAGGATTCCAGTATTTGAGGGGCTGCCCAAAGAAGTGGGGTGGTCAAACTATTCTCCAGAAGCCACTGAGGGTGGGACAAGAAGCAGTTGATGGAACTCATCAAGGAGAGAAGCAACCTGGAATTAAGGAGGAATTTCCTGACAGAACAATTAACCAGTGGAATGATTTCCTTCCAGAAGTTGTGAGTGCTCCAACACTGGAGGTTTTTAGGAGATTGGAGAAGCATTTGTCTAAAATGGGATAGTTTTTCCTGCCTGGGCAGGGGGATGGACTAGAAGACCTCCAAGGTCCCTTCCAACTCTGTTATTCTGTTTTCTTGCAGACATTTCATTACCCAGCTAGGTAACATCAGTATCTGGAAGAAACTTCTGCAGCCAACGGTCCAGCTCAGTGAGCACCGAAGTCCCCTAACTAGAAATATTCTCTAATATTATCTTACAAGACTATATAGGAGAAGAGTAAGGTCGTAGCTTGCAGTGTGTAGGTTAAGTAAAATGTTAAATCTCATAGTGGATGCTAGTCATTTATTAGTTTATTTTAAGAAAAAGAGCTAAATGAGAATCCTGCTTGTGAATTAAATCTCTTGCAAACTAGCTTTGTTTTAGGGATAGTTTAATCCTTAAAAAATTGCAAGATTGTTTGAAAACACTTGTTTATAGGAGACTGACTCGGAGGTCAGTAGTTCCTTTCTGCCACCTTGCTATTAATACAGGTAGTCCTCGACTTACAACAGTTAATTTAGTGACTGTTTAAAGTTACAATGGTGCTGAAAAAAGCAGCTTTTGACCATTTTTCACACTTAATGGCCAGTGCAGCATCCCCATGATCATGTGGTCAAAATTCAGGTGCTTGGCAACTGGTTCATACCTATGACCATTCCAGCCTCTCAGGATCACGTGATTCTGACAAGCAAAGTGAATGGAGAAACCAGATTCACTTAACAATCAAGTTACCAACTTGCCAACTCCAGCAGGTAGATTTGATTTAAATCAATTCAATTTAAATTACAATTTAAATCACTATTAAAAAGGCTTGATTTAAATCATAATTTTAAAAGAGCAACTGTCATCTCTGTCCCGCAGCAGCTCCTCCTCTGACCTGCTTTTGATCCACTGACCGTCCCAATGTTGCAGAATATACAGCCTCATGCTACATAACTAAGTTCCCATTCATCCTGAACAAACTAAATTATTAATGTATCTTACCTAGAAAACTTTTTAGATAGATTTTTGCTCCCAAAGCATTTTATTAAAATAAATTGGATTAAAAAAATGATTTAAATAAAATCCATTTTTTTAAAAATCAACTTTTACCCACCCAGAACTCCAGTGATTCACTTAACAACTGTGGCAAGAAATGTCGTAAAATGGGGCAAAACTCACTTAATTCACTCAAAAATAGTAATTTTGGGGTCATAAGTCGAGGACTATTTGTATATAATACTTCTGTCAGGAGGGTAAGGCTAAATAGTTTATCCTGGAGGTCATGTGTGCAGTTATTAAGAGGGAATACTAACTTAATAGCACATACAGTGATCTGAAATATTGATGCTCTGTTACTATGCATAATCATTCAGTATTATTAACTGACTCAGCATTCTAGACAAAGTTAGTTGGGCTTTGTGATCACTTTGAAGTTAATCAAATGTCTGCATGGCTAAATAGAGCTTTAAACCTGAATCTCTAATCATTGCAGTACCTTATTGGTGCGAGAGTTGGAAGACTGGCCCTATTATAGAGAAAGATTAGAAAGACACACTTCAGTGTTTTTCTTCATAAAAGAGACTAAAGTTTGGTGAGTTAGTGTGGGAACTTTCTGTGTGAGCTATTATTATAGTGCTACTGTTTCCATGCTTTGTTTAGAATCACTACAATTTGAATTGAAGACATGGTACTTCACAATAAAAAATACAAAGGTAGCAGAAGATCCAACTTTTACTGGTCACATCTAGTAAGAAGTTGTTAGAATCTTTTGTTCTTTCCATGATAGATCAATATTAGGCCAGCCTTTTTCTCATGAAAAGGGAAGGTAACGAAAACGATCTGACAATGATGTGTCTGTCCTCGGATGCAACAAAACTTATTTTTGATACATATAAAATTGGGATTAGAAGGCATTTAAAAAGAAAAAAATAGTTGCATCAATTAAGTTTAATAAGTATGCCATACTGTATAATTTTTTGGACAATCGTTTTGTCCAGGAGGGAATGAAGACTCCTGCCTTGGGCGAGGGTTGGACTAGAAGTCCTCCAAGGTCCCTTCCAGCTTTATGATTCTACTTTAGTTAGAAGGGGGGAAAGTCATCGAAGCATCACGAACGTACGTCAGTATACTGCATGTTACTCTGCTTGATGGGAAGTAAGCGATGGTATATTAGCTTCCACAATAACCTCTAGGATACAGATCTGAGGTTCCCACAGAATAGCATTAAGGTGCTTGGGCTGGAAGTGGGCTTCAGTTATGGCATATTGACCTAGAATGTGCTAATGCTTTTTAAAGTTTTTTTTTTTAACTTGAATATATCTTCCGTTAAACTGTGTGTTGTCTGGGTGCAAATCTCTGCTATTCTAATCAAAATGTACAGTATATGTTACTTTGATAATTCTCTAATCTTACAATAATAATCAGCATTATGATTCTATTCGTTTCTCCCTCTTAACGTATCTTCTAATGAAAATATATTAGGTATAATAATATTCATAGTAACAATCACATTGTTTATATCTCTGTCTTAACATATATTCTTTATTTTACTAATCTCTATTTATTTCTCACTTCTGTTGTTATTCTCCAACCATCCATAGCATAGCTCCCATGTCATATAATATTCAGTTTGTTTTTTCTCCTTTATAGCAAGTGTTAGTCTATTCATTTGTGCTCTTAGTAGCATCGAGTAGTGCTACCTGCATAGTAAGTGGTATGTGAGTAAAATACTCCATTTCTATACAGCATAAATAATAAAAAAAAACTCTGTGAAAGCCTTGGTCAGCCACATATATGTTATTCCTTACGCGCAGCAGAAGTCCATTTTGGGGCTTTTTTTGTTTTGTTTTTGCTAACAGTAGTATATGGAAATATTGATTTAGAATAAATGCAGGAAATCGATGATTAAAAGTTGATAGATAGATGTTTTTAAAAAAAGGGACATGGAAAAGAGGAGAGTAAAAAAAACAGCACCTGTCCTTTGGAACCTTATTCCCCGTTTGCCAGCTAGTCTGGGGAATCTGGCCATGTTGGTAGACCGCCTAACAGGTAATCCTCATCTTACAACAGTTCACTTATGGCCCCTTTTCACTCTTACGACCAATGCAGCATCAAGTGATTTACATTTGGATGCTTGACCACTGATTCACATTTACGATGGTTACAGCGTCCCGGGGTCACATTATGAGACCTGACAAGCAATGAGTCAATGAGGGAACCAGATTTACTTAACAGCCGTGTTGTTAATTTAACAACCGCAGCGATTCACTTAGCAAATGCGGCAAGAAAAGTCGTAAAATGGGGCAAAACTCACAACAAATTTCTCACTTAGCGATATCAGTTTTGGGCTCAATTGTGATGGTAAGTTGAGGACTACCTGTAACTATGTTTTTAGGAATGGAATGGTGCTTCCCTGCAGATTTTCTTTTAATGTTTAATCATTTTAATGGTTTTTGCAGGGGTTTTTTCCCCCCTCTCTCTATTGCTTGTTTAATTCTGTAAACCAGGGGTGGGATGCTAGCGATTCGGCCCGGTTCTATAGAACCTGTAGCTGCGAAGAGCAGCTGACACCGAACCAGACACCGGTGTTTGGCCCACCCGCCTGCCCAGGCTCTAGGCTGTCTTTTATTCCCTGCTTTTCCCACCTCAGCTGCTTTGCGCGGCGCAGCTGAGGTTGAAAAAGCAGGAGATGAGGATTTTCAAACAATGTGCACCCAAGCGCAGCTGTCCAGGTGGCACAGCTGATGATTTCTTGCAAACGCTGTACACACGATTGTCCGCAGTTCAGAAAACCGGCAAATCGCTCCACTGGCTGGCTGGCTCCCCTCCCACTCACTCCTTACCTGGCATGTGAGCCATCCGACTTTGGTAAGTTGCTATTTTTCTCCCCCCATCAGCTGTTCTGCTCTGCTGGGAGATTTAGATTAGCTAGAAAGCAGGAAATCCTTGTATTTCTTGCTTTCGAGCTAATCTAAAAACAGAGCCGAACCTTCCTTATGACTGAAGCTTTTCAGTGCAGACTCAGGTAGCCGATTGCAGATAGATCTCTAAATTAATCTGTGATTCTGTGAGCAACTCAATCTGCCTGCCTACCTTGCCTGCTTTTGGGTAAAAGTTGCTCTTTTTTTAATAATACAATATTTACATGTAAGCCATGACCACCAAGCCACACCCACAGAACCGGTTAAGAAATTTGAATCCCACCCCTGCTGTAAATCTCCCAGATTTGCAGTAGTGAGATAGTCTACTATGGAAATTTAATAAGTGAATGAATAAATGAACAATTGTAGGCTGAGAAAGTATCAATTCTATATGAAAATAACTAAATTTGAATTGAAAATTGGCATAGAGGGATAAACAAGTATCTAGCAAGGGTAAGAACACTGGTAATTTCTGCAAAACAACTGCAAATTAAATAATCTGAAAAAAAAACTTTAGGGGTAATTCGGAGCAAGTCATTTCTGAGGAAGAACATTTGGGAAGGAAGTAACTAGGTTGGCAATAGTTGAGGTAACTGTTCCTAAAAGCTACAAAGGGCCATATTTGGGAGCCATTTAGTTGGCAACTTCGACTGGTGTTTAGCAAGATAACATGTGGGTTAGGGTTAACTTCCCTTATATACCTTATTCTGCCCGGGTGTTTTGGAGAATAAGATAGAACAGAACCGAACAGAATGGCAGAGTTAGAAGGGAGCTTAGAGATCTTCTAGTCCAACCCCTTGCCTAGGCAGGAAACCCTATACCATTTCAGACAAATGGTTGTCCAATCTCTTCTTAAAAACTTCCAGTGTTGGAGCATTCACAGCTTCTGGAGGTAAGCCATTCCACTGATTAATTGTTCTCACTGTCAGGAAATTTCTCCTTAATTTCTTGCTTGCTTCTCTCCTTAGTTAGTTTCCTTCCATTGCTTCTCCTCCTGCCTTCAGGGGCTTTGGAGACCTAGAGGAATACATTATTTAGCTTGGGATGGGAGGATGCTGCAAGGGGAAAAAAAAGAGTACTGAATAAGTTGATCATTTCTCCCTCTCTGCTGATTATCTTTTCCAAGTTACTCTTGGTAGAATATGCTGACGAACCAAGCATGTACGTGGGAGTATAAAACGTGAAGAAATACACAAATCATTGCCTGGTGTAATTCGAACCGGTGGATTTTCAGAATGTTGGGACCCCTTCTGTTGATTTTTTTTTAAAAAAAAGGTTAATTAGGCTAAGAACTTCTTAGATTGTATTTCACTATCAGATTGACACTTCTTTTCTTGAAAGAAGATCCCAAAGGTTTGACAGTTTAGCCTTGTAATTTTTTTAAAAAATAGTTTTTGTTTTGCCAGTAGGTCCATTCTGGAGTATTCATAAGATGGAAAAGTTAAAAAAAAATCATAATTGAATTCTCCTCCCCCCACCCCCCAATATCAAATATGGTAATAGTGACTGAATAGAATACAGGTATACAGGATAATTTCTTTGTTCAAAACCTGAGTTTCTGTAACTGATAGGCAGCATTCTTAAAGATCACTTTTCCTTTTTTTATTGGATTATTCTTAATAAAACTGCATATTATTACCTTTACTGTCAGGCTCTTCTAATAGGCAATGTTGTTAAAGATGAACTTTTGGTGTAATTGTTATGTGGAAATAATTAACTGACTTAAAAAATTTCAACTGCAGAAGAGTGCTGCAGTTCCCTCGCAGAAAGGGCTTTTCTGTTTTAACTTAGGCATGTATTTTGTCCACTGTCAG